ATATATATATATATATATATATAAATAATTTATTTTTATTTTAGTTTTAGAAATTTTAGTATTTAAAAATGGAATTTGGAAATGTTGAACTGAAATTTTGTTTTTTATTCATTTATTATTAATTTATTTTATTTTAATTTCAATTACCAAAAAAAATAAAATTAAGAAAGTAATTCAAAACAGATACTCCGCATTTTTTCTTCTAAAAATCAGTGCAGGAAAGTTTTGTCTGGTGTTTATGAACTGTGATATTGAGGGGAACATGAAACGTGAAGTTATGAAATGCATTTGGCTGAATGTGGAACTATATATGTATATGTACATGTGTTTTCCATGCTTTGCACATGGTGTCTTGCACAAACGTCAGCAATATGCATCGCAATGACCATGCAAAATACCCATGAAGAGTTAGTCATCCCTTCTTTGACCTTTGCTCTTTTCTGCTCTTTACTTTTGCACGTGTTAGTGAATTTAACAACTATTGCACCTCTGAAAATTCAGTTAATTTCCCTTGTCTCTTTTTTTTCAGGACCTCCCAGAATTTTCCATAAATCAGCCCCTTTATGTCCCCCAACACGCTGTAAGTACTCTTTGTTTATCCAAAAGCAGATTTCATAAACTCCATCAGCAAGGGTGAAAATATAAGGGCCGCTCTCTCGGACAGAACAGATGTATGTTTTTTTTTTTAAAGCATTTGACTGTCAGCAATGTTAAAGGTGTCTAAAGTGTCTAATTTATGTGCCTCTACTGTAAATTAAAAAAATAATGATTGTCTTCAAATAGGTTTCCCAAACACTCCCACTATTTGTGATTGGTCAAACAAACAGCCAGTGTTGCAATATCAAGCTAGTAGGGATTGGTTATATTTTGGTTGTTTCACATGGTCCAGTTAGTTCCACTACAGATCAAAAGTTTGGGGTCATTACGATTTTTAAAAAAGTAATTAATACTTGCATTAAATTGATCAAAAGTGATAGTAAATACATCCATAATGTAAAAAAAATCTTTCAAATAAATGCTGTACTTTTGAACTTTCTATTCACCAAAGAAACCTGAAAAAGTGTATATCTATAAAATATTAAATAGCAAAACTGTTTTCAACATTGATAATAATAGTAAATGTTTATTGAGCAGCAAATCCGTATCAAAAACAAAAAGTGGATCCCATTGCAAGAAACAAAAAATAAATAAATAAATATAAATCCACGTCCTGGCACTCAAATAGCAGGCAAAATATAAAAAAGCCTTTATTGTAAGACAGGGCTACATGTTAAAAAACACCAACGCGTATCAGCCCAAGCAAATCAGTATATTAGAATGATTTTTGAAGGATCATATGACACTGAAGACCGAGTAATGATGCTGAAAATTCAGCTTTGCATCACAGGAATAATTTACATTTTAAAATATATTCAAATAGAAAACAGTTTTTAAAACACGTTTTTAAAATTGTAATATTTCACAATAATGCTGTTTTCACTGTATGCTTAATCAAATAAAGCTGTCTTGGTAAGCATAAGAGTCTTCTTTCAAAAACGTTGAAAAATCTTAATGACCAAACACTTATTAAAGGGTCTCTGTGGATTCGTCCCTATGGAGGAAGGAGAGAGTGGCTGTAACTATTAATAGACACTGAAAGAATTAAACACACAAACTGCGAGTCTCAGAGCAAAACAAGTGACACACAAATGTGCTTAAAGAGTGTCTGAGAGACTTGATGATGAGACTCACACTGTGCTCCTTATCCACAGCACATGTGCACTCAGTATTATCACTCAGAGGGGAATTGTGTCTGAGGCATCCTGAGACTCACACATTTAATAAGGCTCTGTGTGTGTGTGTGTGTGTGTGTGTGTGTGTGTGTGTGTGTGTGTGCGTGTGTAATAATCTGCTTTGTCATGGTCATAAGGCTCTCATGAAAGTGAAAAGATTTATCATGGAGAAGATGGTTAGATAGACTGATAGATTGTCAGACGGACAGGCAGTAGATAGACAGACATCAGCCAAACTAAATGAGCTTTCAGAAAGCTTTTAAAAAGCACTACTTTATTTGTGCACATTGTTTGTGCTGTAAGACATTACCAATTGTCCATAAAACCAATTGAATTCCTCCTCAATTACTTCCATGACCTGTAAATCTAAAGTTTATAAATGAACAAATGTAAGCACTTTGTGCCAAGTCAACCATATAACTTGAAAAATCTTGTTGAAAGTATTTTTTATTGCTAACTTACAAGTGCTGTTAAAATGGACTTTCTCATTGTTTTGAAAAATATTCTGTATGTCAAAATAATAATAGTAATTTAAATCGGGGTTTTTTTCACTCTTCAAATTATTTTAATATTCTCTACTGACTTGATCCGCGTTTTACCACAACAGTCGTGTCCTTTTCAAAAAGGTGATTGTTACTAAGTGTTGTAACATTTTTTTCCCCCTTTCAAGGTTAACAAAAATTTAATTATTTAATATTATTCATTTATGCAGTGTAATTCCAAGTATAAAATATAATTACATTTTTATTTGGGTTATTTTTGAATGAGATTAATAAAATAAATTATAGCATTAACAATAGATAAGTAAAATTAAAAACCCAAGTAATCTGGTCAAGTTAGATCGTGTTTCTAATGTTTTCACAAAATTTGGAAAAAACGTTACTTTTGAGATATTCATTGTGTTTGGGGCGTCAAACAGAACATATGACGATTAATACATCGTGTCTGGAGACCGTTAGAGCGTGTCAGAAGCGTCCGCTGTCCGGTGCGCTCAGCGCGGTTCCGCCCCTGCGGCGCACCAGCACTCACTTCAAAGGCTTCCCTCAGAACTCAGAGCGGTGTGACGTCATGAAACGCGATGCACGCTCCGGCAGAAGAGATGCCGGAGCGCAACAGGCGAGCGCACATCGCGAGCGCACAACTACAATGACAACTTCCTGATATCTTAACCAAAAGTGTATTCGAACTCTTTGCGCTTTTGTTTTTGGACAGCATTGGCTTTCTTCTGTGTGCTGTGTGTGGTGCTATGCCTGATGACGAGATGATTTCATCACTACTCTCTAGACATTTGCTAAAGTGGAGGTCTGCAGTTGGGATCCTGTGGTACCTGTTGATTCTGTGTGATTGCTACAATCTGGATGTGGGGCATCCTTTAGTTTTTCATGGACCCAATGGATCTTTATTCGGATACTCCGTTCTGCTTCATCAGCATGCTGAAGACACATGGTAAGTGCATTAAACATGCATGAGAAGTTTTGATATTGAAGACAAGGGTGAATGAGCAAGTTTGAGATTTAAGATTTGAGATTCGGTGGATTTTATACATTTTTAGTGCATTTGGTTGCATTTCTGACCACCATTTAATGCCAAGTTGAATCAGTTAAATAAAATATATTTTCACGCGTGAATAATTATGGCTCTCACCTTTACAATCAACATCAAACTTTCTGCCAGCATACATTTTATATATTTGCCCAGCTGTTAGATGTTTACTACTGATACAGTATATGTAGCTAATAATCACTGTTTCAAGCTTTAGAGTTGTTGGGAGTGTCTCTTCACATTTATTGTTCCAGAGATGACTTTATTATTATTTTTTAATGAAGTCTGAAATGATAAACTAGCCTAGATAGGCCTAGTGGAATATTGTTAAATGTATCAAATGGTGCAGAAGAACTTGCTCATATGGGCATATCTCATGTGAGAGTTTCTTTTGCCCTGAGCCCTGATTAATTTCAGTAGTTGACACGTCCTGCGGTGTTACATGCTTTTCTCCATCTAAAACATATTTATTGTTAAGGCTGATAGTTGGAGCGCCTGTGGCTGATTCCAGCTTTTATCCTCATACCAAAAATCCTGGAGCCATCTACAACTGCAGTGTGTGGAGCTCCCAATGTGAGCAGCTCCCTGTTGGTAGGTCTTCCCTCCTTTACCTTCAGAAATTCAGCTTTTCTTGTTGTTTTATCTATTATCTGAAGGGCAGAGTTGTGGAAAAAGGTTAATAATTAAATAGGTTGCTCTTAAAAGTTATGTAATATGTGGTTATTTGGCAATAAGTTTATTTTAGAGTGTCAACCAATTTCATCAGTAAAGCATTTTACAATGCTTAAGAGATCAGTAGTTCATGTGGGGTCCAAAAGCTCACCAAAGCTTCGAAATCCCATTTAAACCTGGGAAAACAAGTTTTAGGATTTTGTGCAGATGCTCAGGTGTTTTTTCTTCAAGTTAAGCACAAAATTCTCTTTAGATCACTCTCGAATCATGCTGGAGAACATGATCATCAGGTTTTGTCCATGTCAGCTCAAGTCATGCTGTCATTAAAGCTAAAGAAAAGAACAAAATCAACATTTTGAAATTCATGAACTCCCCCACCCCCCGTCACCCCAAATCAGCTTTTTGATTGTTATATTTATTTTTATATTCTTTTTAGTTTTATTGCAATTGTTTAATTGCAATACAATTGTTATACTGATAATATAGTTAAAAAAAGAAAAGAAAAATAGAAGCATTTTCACTAGTAGTCTCAGATAATATACTATATATAATATAATCATTTAATTACATTTCATAATATTTGAATGTACTTTAATGATCTGTTAAACACTTTACATAATCTAACAGTGCTTGTTTTGTTCTTCATAAAAGTAATCCCACTGTTCCTGTGATTTCTTCCTCTCTTTTTTATCCTTCTGTTTGTTGTAGACCAACTCTGAACAGTCAAACATTTCTATTTGACCACGTTATTCCGTTTAGACTTCACACTTCTGAATGCGCTCTGATTGAACTTGTGTGTGCTTTCTAGCCCCCTGACTGTGAAAACGTCCTGTGAATGAATTCCCCATGCGGGGTCAGCCAGACTGTGGAGGGTTTCCTCCTTTCAGGAAGAGGATGCTAATATTCCCAACCAAAAAAACAAGGGATGGGGGATAGTCTTCTTTGTTGGTCAAGCTACAGGATATACTGTATAGCTTGCAAATAAAATGTCTCTGTTTAGTCAAGGGAAATGGCATTAAACAAATCATTTCCACCAAAAGCCATGCTGGACTGGAGTGCACACGTTTCAAGATTGTTAATGTGTCTGAAAAGGTTTCGTTATTAGTGGCATTTGCTATCACTATTATTATTGCTCATACTTAGGGTTAGGGGTTTGAACAAACCCTTAGTATGTAGTAACTTTAGCATGTAGTTCACCGCAGTTCATGTGCTATAGATGGGTTTTTGAGGAGTTGTGTGCTACTTTTCTAAGCTATCAGTCTTACAAGAATGATAAAATGGCTGAAAACAACTATAATAGACTTTCATTGAGAGACTGAGCCATATTTAGGGACAAGATTTGGTTCTTAGGAACCTTTTCACTTGGGCCAGTATGCAACCACACTGAAAATACCTTAGCAACCACATGCAATACCCTGGCAACCATCTACAATATCACATTGTGAAGTTGTGTGTGAGCAAAAAAAAAAACTAATTTTCTTCAGAAAAGTCAAGATCTAGTTGCTGTTAACAGTAGAATTAAAAGTTTAATATGGTTTTGAATGACATGGTTCATAAGTGATGCTCAGAAAACCTCCGTTTTCACTTGTGCACTTGACAGTGTCTTAGACAAGTTTTTCTTTTTACATCGCAACATGTTACTTTCAGAGCATTGAGTTTGTGAGCCACAGGTGTGAATTAGCTTGAGATGAAAAACATTTGTACTGCATGTCTCTAACATTTTGCACAGTTTCCACATGGTTTGGGCTCTTGATTGATTTTATATTAATTTAGACACATTTGACTGAATGATTTCAGGAGGTGTACGGCACTGTGGAAGACACTGTTTGGCAGAGAATGATAACCAGTGGCTGGGTGTGAGTCTGTCCCGGCACCCCTCAAAAGGCCATGTTTTGGTATGTCTGTTGGTCAAAGCATACACTACCATTCACAGAGGCTCCATTTATTTGATCAAAAATACAGTAATATTCTGAAATAATAGTACAATTTAGGATAACTATTTTCTATTTGAATTTATTTTATAATGTAATTTATTCCTGTGATGACAATTACTCCATTCTTTAGTGTCACATGAACCTTCAGAAATGATCTAATAGGCTGGTATGGTACTCAAGAAAAATGTCTTATTTTTATCAATGTTGAAAACAGTTGCGGCTTAATATTTTTATGGAAACCGAGACATGCTACTATTCAAATCTTTGATGAAAAATTGAGAAAAAAAAAGAAGTACATACTTTTAAGACTGTTAAATTGATGAAAATTGACAGTAAAGACATTTATAATGTTACAAAATATTTCTATTTCAAATAAATGATGTTCATTTTATTTGAAATAACACTGAAAGATTACTGGGAAAAAATGTCATGTTTTCCACAAAAATATTAAGCGGCAAATACTGTTTTCAACATTGATAATAAGAAACATTGTTAATAAATTGTTAATAATAGAACACCCCAACAATAACTGATAATAATTAAGCACCAAATCGGCATATCAGAATGATTTGTGAAGGATCATGTGACACTTAAGACAGAAGTAATGACTAAAATTCAGCATTAATTCGGAGAAAATTTGATATTAAAATATATTAAATAGAAAACAGCTATTTAAAATTTTAATAATATTTCACAGTATTACTGTTTTTATTGTATTTTAATCAAATAAAAGTAGCTTTTGGTGAGCATAAGAGAATTCTTTCAAAAATGTTAAAAATCGTAATTATTTGAAACGTTTGACTGTTAGTTAAAATTTTTTATGAGTAAATGCATAGCTACGATTATAATTTTTAATTGAAAAATCTCCTATTTACTTCTAAGTCAGACAGAAGGTGGAAAATGTTAATGTACAACTAAGTTATGATTGTTTCATGTGGAATAGGATGATGAGTTTGATAAGTAAATAGTTGTTTACTTCACTCTATGCTGGTTTAAATTCTAGGCATGCGGACATCGGTGGAAGAATATCTACTACTCTAGTAAAGACAATCAGAACAAGCTGCCGCATGGTGTTTGCTTCAGACTCAGCCCAGATTTAAAACATGCCAATCACATTATCCCCTGCTATAAAGGTACAGATTTCCATTACCGTCATATTGGTTAGCTTGTGGTTCAAACAAAGCGTAACCTAAAGCATACTACTAATTGTTCCCTATAGTGTCAAATGAGCGCCAGTTTTCCTTTACTCTGTTTAGATCATCAGAGGAAGTTCGGTGATGGTTATGGGTCATGTCAAGCAGGAATATCAAATTTATTAACAGAGGTATAAGGAACTTTTATGGTGTTTTGATTGAGCTGACATTGAATTGAATTGATTTGGTAACAATATATTGTGTTTGTAGGACCTGATGGTCATGGGAGCTCCTGGTACCTCATACTGGACCGGATCCGTTCTTGTCTACAACACCACAAGCAACATTTCAGCTGCTTATGTGGATGATGACAGTGAAGTTCTCTTTGGCAGCTATTTAGGTGAGTTCTCCAATTGATAACGTTGTAGGCTTTGTAACAAATCCAAGTAAGCTGTCCCATGTAGGCAAGGTTATAAGGTATCATAGACCCAAAGGACTGTAGGCAAATGTATTGTGCTGCCTGCTAAGATAACTAATTTTATTCAAATTCTAAGGCAGCATGTATTTTTCACAGAGAAGGCCATCCCAGAATGCCTTGCAACGAGCATGTGGCATGTGTATGAGAATTGCTGCCTATGTGCAGCATTCCAAATTGTCCATTTATATGGTTCCATAATGGCTAGGAAGCTTCCTTAAAATGCAACTGCCTATGTAGGTAATATACAACAAGCCAACTCTATAGGTTTTAGAACAGGAATACTGTATGGTCTGTTTTTAATGGTTTGTGTATGAAATTATGTTGGTAGAAAATAAGTGATTTTTCCTTTTGGGGTTTAGGGATACAGTGATCTAATTTTGCTAAAATGCATTTAAGCATGCAAAAAGATAAATATAATCCAGTGATCATCAGCTTCTTAAGACGTGCATCAGGAAACAGACTTTTGCTGTTATAAGGCATAACGTTCTTCTGTTTAAACAGGAAACAGATACTGTTGCATAATCTATGAGCATCAAACTGTTGCAAAATATGTGCCAGGCTAACCTGTCACTTTGTTTTGATCTCATGGCAACCTATCCATACGTTCTTAAAAAAATATACATTTCAGCAATGCCTCATTTTAGTCATTGGTATTGCATTATGTACATGTGATTTCTTGGGTTCGTCATCTAACATTAAAGTAGTTAAAATCAAATGTATTTGTATACCGCTTTTCACAGTACACATTGTTTCAAGCAAATTGCAAGCCTGAAAAGTCATGTAGATTAATACAATTTAAAAGAAAAAGTCTATATTTTTATTTCATCAGCTAGAAATTGCTTGTTGTCAAAGCAGTCTCTGTAATATGACTTTTAAAAAATCATTTTCCAGTAATCACTAAATTAACAGTTTTCATTCAAGCCACACGTGATTTAATATTTAATTTAATCAAGATACAAGAGTAACTTGAAAGGGTTAGTTTAGCAGTGTTATTTTAGTATTGAGTAGTATAAATCAAATCTTATTAATATTTTGAATTAATTTTTAATTTTATATTTTCCATTTTCATTTTAAATTTAAATTAAAGTTTTAGTCATTTTGTTGTGTGTTTTTTGTCATATA